CGTTCAAAGAGATGCTTCTTAGACGAGAAGGATGAACAATTGAGAACACTAAAACTTTATAAAGATGAAGATGATCTCATCAGATTAAGAACAAAAACTGTCTATCGAGAAGACAGCCATTCTTTTACAAGACCTGTGATTCTCCCTTCTCAACACCAGGTTGTAAAACTACTAATATTTTCCTTTCATAAAATGCATGAACATGTGGGGACTCAAATGTTACTTAATCTTCTGAGGGAACGTTTCTGGATCTTAAATGGAAGAAACACTGTGAGGTCAACATCTCAAAAGGCGTTACTTGTAAGAGACATTCTGGTAGAAGTCTGGATGCAGACACTGCCCCCATCACTAAAGACCGCATTCGAGATGACTGTAGTATTTAAAATCGTAGGCGTAGATTTAGCCGATCCAGTATATTTGAAAGATAAAGTGACTTGGGTTTGTCTTTTTACTTCTGCAGTTTATCAGCTGTGCATATTGAGCTGGTGTCAGATATTTTGACATAGATTTTTATTGGCCCTACGTAAGTTTGTGGTAAGAAGAGGTAGATACACAGTTATTTACTGTGACAATGGAACCAAATTTGTTGGAGCCGATAATTTAAAAACTTTGAACTGGATCGTGTCATCGAGAATTCAGCTGTTGAATCTCATTCAGTGGAAATTCAATCCTCCTTCTGAAGTTGTTGGTGGGAACGGTTGATTCGAATCATAAAAGATATATTAAAGAGAGTGATAGGTCGTGCTTGTTTGTCATATGAGGAAATGATAACTGTTCTATGCGACTGTGAGTCAGTTATTAACTCTGATGTTACGAAATTTTAGAATGAAATGTTTTCAGTTCTTGGCACAGAGAAAGGGGCGCAAAATCTTCAGCTGTCCCCGGGCGCCGAAAACCTCTGCCTCTGACATATATTTCAGAAAATGATTCAGATTTTGTTCCTTTGTCACCATCATTATTTCTTCAAGACACCAAGGAAATCGGAGTACCAGACTGTGATGCAACAGATCACAAAAGACTTAATATAAGGTTAAAATGTCGACCTCGCACTTCAAAAAGATCTTAGGAAAAGATTCAGGTCTGAATATCTGGGTTCGTTAATTCAAAGACATAAGATACAAAAAATGGTCAACGATATCTGTGGGAGACGTCGTTCTCATAGTCAGTGACAGTCGGAAACGCATTAACTGGTCTCTAGGACGAGTAACAGAAATTATTGCTGGAAAAGAAGGAACCGCCAGACTCGTGAAACTTCGAACAGCTCATGGAGAAATAATGAGACCGATACAACGGTTGTTTCCGTTAGATTACTTGTGAAATGGCTAGGGATGTTCAAACTAAAATGCAAAGAAAGCAAGTGACTCATTCTAAAGTAACCCAAACACGAGTAGCAGACCCTGCAGAACCAACACCGAATCTACTTCATCCTAAAGTTGTTTTTTGAATGATTGGAATAATTTGATGCAGCACATCCACCCATATTTCTCAAAATTAAGTCGTAATCTACCAACAAATATGTCAACAAAAGGATACTAATGCATGGCGAATAACAACTACGCTCCGTTGTCTACAACGAACGACGCATCAGCTCCCCGATGACCACAACATGTGACGTCACAAAAGCGCCATCTGGCTTGTAGTAGAGTCGGTGTTGGCAAAACCCATTACAAGAACTATAACAACTCGCTCTGTAAAAGGTAACAAAATACCAGAAAGTCTTGATTTGTAACGCGATTGTTGAGTTGCGAAGTCTCCAACTCAGGGTGAGAGGATGTACAAAACTGAGTGTTAATTTATGCACGCATATTGTTATCAGTATAACTTCAGGTGTTTAACGTTTGTAATTCTGAATCTGGCAACTAAAATGAATATTCTAATATTTTGAATGAGAATTACCTTCATACATTCGTAGTTAGATGTTTTATAATATAAACGTTGTAATTATTAATGTTACAAAGAATAAGAGTGTTGTGTCAATACTTTGTACATTATTTGAGTTCTAGGAATATCGATTTATAGCTGAATTTTGAAATCAGTATCCGACAACAGCATTGATGTTTTGCAGATTTCGCCTCATGCAAAGATTTCCTTAAATTTTCGACAGCTTTTCTTTATTTTTCCGTACATCATACACGGTCCGTGTCGCAATTCCATACGATTCTGTTATAAACTGAGGAGTATCCTATATCTATATAACCTGCTTATATCTTTTGCAGAATTTCCACTTTTTGCATTACCGTCAATGCAACGTGTTTGCGTTTTTCAACGTAGCAAGCAGTAAAAACATGAATGCGTTTCTTATCTGTCATCGTATTAAACAGCGTTGAAATTAAAAATATTTTTAATTTATCCACAAAATATCCAGATTTAAAAAAAAGGGGGGTAGCCATTAAACAATCTAATGAAATAACAAAGCTCATAAAATACAGCATGAATAGTGAGCTTGAAAGAAAAGTTGAGCGAATTGTCTGCTTTTCTACCTAGTTGCAGACTGGAGGGGACTTTTCCCATGATGTCAATAATTAGGTATTTCCGTTATGATTTATTATTATTCGGAAAGTACTTTTTTCCTTTGGTATTTCCTTCTCCATGTTGTGGTTTCCGAAACCTATAGATTGATAAAGTTTATATTTTCAGAGGCAACGCGGATTTCAGGTCGGTGGGTTTTCTGTATTTGACTGTATTTGCTGAAGTATTTCTAAAGGATGAAAAACCTGATATTAAGTCTTGCCTGCTTGATTAGTTGTTTGCATAGGTAACTTTTGCACAAACTCGGCATCGCGCACAACCTAGGCATTGCGCACTGCATTGGCTTTGCCCATGTACACATCGATCTTATTTCACTTAAAAAAATCAGAGAATTGCACAAACTCGGCATCGCACACAACCTCGGCATTGCGCACTGCATTGGCTTTGCCCATGTACACATCGATCTTATTTCACTTAAAAAAATCAGAGAATTGCACAAACTTGGCATCGCACACAACCTCGGCATTGCGCACTGCATTGGCTTTGCCCATGTACACATCGATCTTATTTCACTTACAAAAATCAGAGAATTGCACAAACTCGGCATCGCACACAACCTCGGCATTGGGCACTGCATTGGCTTTGCCCATGTACACATCGATCTATTTTCACTTAAAAAACATCAGAAAATTGCACAACCTCAGCTTTTCCAATCTTCTAGGATCAAGCCAAAAAGAAATACAATATATTAAAAATAAGCAACTTTAAAACGAACCATACAAGAAAATGCTTTTCACTTACCCTTTTCAAGAAAAATGTAAAATCTTTTTGAGGGGTTTTATATATGTATATTGAATTTATCTCAGGGGAAAAGCCTTTTGGATCCCCCCTCATCTTTAAATAAATTTACTAACGTTTTATACTCCGTTTCCGTAATATATGCAGAAAAAAGGCAAAAATCCACAGGGGTAAAAATACTGGATTAAAAAAAGAACCACCACATAAGAACATTCAAACCGCAACAGAATTAACTGCTCTAATTAACAAGTAAAAATTTTAAAAAAAAAATTAAACCTTTCAGATTTTACCATACGCCCACAGGACCGTTTTTCTAACGTTTTGTGTGTTACCTTTCTTTATCAAATATAGTATTCTTTACACTTAAACCATAAAATTCAGTTCAACAGCAATATCGCAAAATAATTTTAAAATGAGCATATCTTTAGAATTTCCGATACACAGTTTTGCGCTTTGCACGTAAAAATGTTTTTTTTTTTTTTTTTTTTTTTTTTTTTTTTTTCTCACGTACTGTGTTGCCGTTGTTCGCTTTGAAATCTTTGAGTTGGTTAATCAAAAATTCGTTCAAGTTTTACAAAATATCAATCAGATAATAAAAAAAAATTCCAAATTCGGGCTTCCAGATGCCCATATTAGTTTGGAAACGTATGTTATTCAAAATTTGATGGCTCTAGGTACTGTTGTTTTATCAGACTGCGAGAAACATTTATGCAGACTTTTCAATATTCAATTTCTTTAAATATAACACAGGGCGATAACATCTAGTGGCAACAGAATAACAACACAGCTTCAAAACATCGGGTTAGCCATGTTGGTGCGTTTATTGTCCATTGAAAAACAATCGCCAAGCAGTGGGCTAAACCGCATTTCAACCATGCATTCAATATTTTCAATCGTTTGGTAATGATCGTTTTCAATCGTTTGGTATCTTAATAATACATTTGTGAGAGATAATTCGTTGCGTTAAATGCTAACACTACCACACAACACCCAAGAGTAGATTTATAATTAAAAAAAATCTCGCGCAGAACATTATAAACTTAACATTTGAACTCAGTTAAAATATAATTTAAGTTTTCGTTAAATAGGAAGCTTAACTTGTTTTTAAGAAGAGGCGGAATCAATATTACGTCATAAAAAGGCGTATCCAAGCATAAGAAAAGTAAATACAGCATCGACTGATGCAGCCTATTCTGCGATTTAGCCAAAGTAAATCTGACTCCATTCTATAACACTTGAAAAGAAATATTTTAAATAAACAATAACATTTTCTTGCTTACGGAAGCCAAAACTTTATTTGCTTACACACTTAAGGAAATCAAAATATTATTCTAATCTTTCTTACTGTTGCCAAACTACAAAAACAAAACTCTGTCTAAAAAGGCACACAACGGCTGTTAATATTCAACACAAAAAAATATAAATATAACAATATATATAACGAAGATATAAATATAACATTAACAAATATAAATCATGGAGCTCACAACACATTAAGCATACACATGCCAAAATACGTGGCAGGTGCATAAAGGAAAAAATCTATGTTTAAAAATTAAATTTTAAGAGCTGCATCATTAGAAATCGCGAGATAATCATGTGTAGTTTTGTTTACTTATTGTGTCTGATGTACATCAGGCATAATCGCGTAGTAAATGTTATGGTTTAAACTTATGTCACGTGACTTTTTTTCATTTCCTTGAAGTTTGCAAATCCTTTCATAGACAGTTACGTTTAAAGTTCGGCAGATATGTTTCCATTCATTAATATCCTAGCTCCGATATATCATTTCCATTGTAATTAAAAGAAATGGCTACAAAAATAGAGAATTCTTTAATTAGACGAAAGATTATTAGAAAAAAGCGAGGTTATGCTCAAGAAGTCAATTTTCGTCGAAGCATACGAAAAGTGCTTGCGATAATAGAGCCGAACTTATCCATGAAACCTAAAGCAACAGCTATCATCAATGACGCTTTAAATGTTGTAAATATCAAGTTAATAGAAAATTGCAATAAAAAATATCGACCCAATAAACGGCAACCCGAGATGAATGTTGAAGTAGCATATACAGCTGTGAAGAATGAGTTTAGGAATGAGATACAAAAGCATGCTTTAGCTGCCGGACAGAAAGCTCTCGCAAGATTCATTTATGGACTTACATCGTATACGCGAAAAACACCGAAGGACACCCGAAAAAAATCGCCTAGTCGAAAAACGAGAGTTTCCTGGGGACAAGAATTCAATAATGGTATACAGACAATAGCAAAAATTGTATATCCTGAAGCTAAAATTGATCCTAAATCTAAAAAAATGATGTGTGTGTTTCTGAATGTATTATTTGCGAAGTTAATAAGTAAAATAAAAGCATTAAACTCTAACACAGTAGCTCCGGTGGATGTAAAAAGCGCAGTCGAGACTATATTTCCCCAAGTAATGGCTGAACATGCGAAATCCGAGGGCAGCAAGATGGTATTTACATTGGAGATCAATGCATTGACATTTGCTCCTAAATATAGGAAACCAAGGTCCAGAATAACTGCAGGTAAGACAAAAATCATATTGCTTTGATTTCATATTTTTATATTTTAACCAAAAAATGGAGTGTATACTTTAACCGAAAATTATACATCAACTTTATCAAAACTATGAAAATTTTAAATGAAGTAAAAATGTTAATATACAGATGTGCCCTGTCAAATTTGGCGATTTTTTGCCTAGCATGGTAACCATGCTGGTTCGTCTGGATTTTGTTTCCTATGGCAGCCCATTTAAGAGCGTTGACTAATGTTTTACATTTTTATTCGGTTATTTTCTTGGTAAAAGTTTACAATTGGGTGCCCCTTGTTTTTTGGCGATTTTTTTCTTTTCTTTGGACACCAAGATCGGCGTCAGGAAGGCACAATTTCAAGATGGCCGCTACACAAAACAAAAATAAGAAGTCAAAGAATTGCACATACTCTGTGTCCATGATTGCCCAAACTAGGCACTGCGCACTGCCTTAAATTTGTCCATGTACACATCAATCTATTTTCATATAAAAAAAAAAAAAAAAAAACAGCTAGAACAAAGTTAAAACTATCATAGTAACCAGAAATGAGGTTTTGTCACCAAAATTTAAAAAAAAAATTGTCGCTAATCGAAGGGACACCCAGTTCTACACTAGAGCTATTTCCTTATTTTTGCTGTGCTTTTTGTTAAAAACTAAATGTTTGCTAACATTTTTAACTTTGTTGTCCCTTTTTCGAACGTTAAGTGCAGTTACTTTTTTTTAATTATTTAAGTTTTTTTGCTTACATTTCGCACTTACAGCTCTGTGAAAATGGGGTTTTCTAGCTAAAAATTTTCCGCAGTAACTTTTTGTCAACACGGTTCTTTTGGAACATCTGTTCTAACTTGAAGTTTTGTTAATTTTTGAAAAATACGTAATTGGCTTACAGCTTCTAATAGGCAGCAATTCTAGCGGCTGAATCAATCAGACGCTTTCTATTTCTTATACTTATCTCTAAATAGAGTGCACGGTAAAATCCTAGTATATGGTACGGCCTTAGTGCAATTTTGAGAATTGTCGCCAACACCAAAATGACCCGTTTATTGCTCATCACAATGTCGCCAAATCCCATGTGTACCGTATACTAGGATTAAACCTGGCGGACTAGCGACGAATTTTTAAAATGTATTTCGGATATTTTAAAATGACTTATAAAGATAATTAAATAAAGCATGTTGGATTATTTTTACATTTGCAATTCTTTTTTATATAAAAATATAATGAAAACGTAATTTCTAATACCATCATAAGGTTTTAAAATGCTAATATTTTGTGTTATTAAATGTGTAAACTGATCTGTAAAATTTCATAGAAGGGTTCCTAGCTTCTATGACATTTTACATAGAATTTTACGTGAAAATTAATTTAAACAAGCTACATTTCGAACCAGAAACATGAAAAATCAGCTGTGCCGTTGCCAAGATTCGAAACGGATCAGCTAGTAACTAGCTGAACACGCTAATTGTTTACACATTGGATAGTTCTGTCCGCAGTTTCAATTAGGCGAACGGGCTCGCTGCATAGGCAGTTTCGTGATTCTCCCCCTCCCGTGTCATGTGTGTACGAGTTAGATTCCCTTAGACATGTCCTCCACGAAGGCATCCCTTTACTTAGGCATATAGCCATCGAGTGTTCTGCTGTTAATCAAATAAACCAAACCAATCATTTATACAATGACAGAACTCATGAAGGAAAGTTAGTTAAATAGGTACTTCCTTGTTACAACGGCCATCGTACAAGCCTTTGGCGAAACAGAAATTTGCACGTCGTTTACAAACTAAGTCATTAAGCTTAATAGATTTCTTCATTTGAAACGTGAAACAAGGTAGTTTCCCTTAACAAATCCTCTACGAAGGGATCCTTCCTCTTAGGCAAATGGTGGCTTGGCAAATGCGGTCAAGAGCAGGAGACTGACGTTAATTACGGAAGGGGAAAGTAAACGGTTGTGCCAGGGATCATAAGGGGAGATATATTTTTTTAAAAAAAGTGTTTTTTGGCTAGTTTATACATTCAAAGGAAAATACAAGTTACTCACTGAACTTCGCACATTAGTCTGAATAACCTTTAAACCCGATGAACAGTACATTTGTGTGACAAGGCGAGCTTTCTGACTGTACAATCTGTTTTACATTTAGCGAGCTTGTGCCGAATAAGTTTATTCGCTATTTTATGTAATTTCTGCAATATTTTGTAATTCTTTTATTTTTTCATTTAAATTTTATTTTTTTAAAGATAATTTCCTTTTTATTCACAAATATTTGTATATTTCTGTTTTTCTAATAAGTGAAACATTTAATTAGATTCTGATATTTTGTTTTCATAAGATAAAGTACGAAACCTTTGTTAAAATTTTCATAGCTCACTGTAGTCCAGTGACCGTATTTTAATGTGCCATTTTATTCGCGAGTCCATTCATCCGATTTGAAACTTGGAAATGAATTAACAAATCGACCTTTCCATTCAATTGAACCTATCGACTTGAAGACAGTGAGCCTGAGTAAACAGGAAGTATCTTTCGTAAATATAAAAACCATTATAAGCGCATTTCTAAATAATAATTTTAAAATATAATTTTCACAGCTGTTTGACGCTGCTTTCATTTCTTAATTATAAATACAAATATATGTACTGAAAATTACGAAGAGAATAAGGGGCTTACAGGTACGTATCTGTTATTACGAGAATAAGTATTGCTAATAGGAAGCTTGAAAAACTCATTTTGATTCACCTTTCTTTTCTTTATGAATGATGAATATAAATAGGAAATAGCCAAGTAAGCACGTGATCAAATAGGGAAGTAAGTGTTTAATCCGTAAGATTATAAGTATTGATTAACATTTCATATAGCTACTTCTAATTGAGGCTTTCTAAGAGCAACCCCCTTAATTTTGACTCGCAGCTTTTAATTTTAGACTAGGATATGAGCACATAGGCTCTACCTTTAAACAATGGGATTTTTTTTTAAACACTGTGGCATGACAATGCCGAGTAACAATAGTTTTAGCGTCACTTAAGAATCAATTTTCTGGATTCTCATATTGATTTTTTTCCAAAAGATATTAAAAGCTGCAATTGACGAGTATGAGCAATGCATAATACATACATATATAACGTAAGCATACCATAAAGAAAAATGAACCCCCAACAAAAACTGATCGACTGATATTGAACTCTAAAGAGGGGTTTATCAGAGGGAAAATGGCAATTAAAATTCCATTTAATTGATTTTAATTATTTATTTACTGTATCGATTTATAACTAATTGTAATGGATTGGAATATTTGAATATGAATTAGCTGAATATTTAAGAAAAATATTATGACTGCGAGAATAGGAAAAAAAAAAAAAACATTTTTTGAATATTTACTTTCTTATAGAATGCAGATAAATTCATTTTTACTCAGTGAAAATCAAAATTTAGTAGCTAATTAATCTGTCCTGTATCGAGCACTTTAGTTCAGTGATCCGTATTGATGCGCTTTTTTTTAAAAAAATTAAATGCTTCAAGAATAATTAGAAAAGGGCATAACTCACTTCTTACCCTTAAATTCTTCAATAAAAAAAACTCCATTTTCAGCTTTAACCAAGTGAAATAATTTTCTAAATATAATTCAAAGCATGAAAAATAAGGTACATAAGCAGCTTGGAAATGGAACTAGCATTGAGATTCTCTTTAAGAAATATGGTGAAGCTTAACAAAAAGTCTACGAAGTGAAGTAATTCCGTAGAATATTTTTTAACTCTTTATGATTAAATTGCACTCAATTATACTTTATAAACGACATGTAAATACTATTTAATGTATATGTGTGTGTGCGTGTGTGTGTGTGTGTGTGTGTGGCTCACTAGCGGCTGAGCTGTAAAGTCATTGATCTCTGGCAGGTCGATCCGGGGTTCGAATCCGGATCGACGGGGATGGCTGCATTGTATTGGCGTTTTCGAGGTTAAGTTTTTTCCCCACGTGTAACGTGCATAAGAGTCAGTTTTGCTTCGAAAGTTCTCCACGAGGCACCCTTACCCTTAGGCAAATAACCGTCGAATGCTTTGCTATAATCAAACAAACAAGACCAAACAAGATATATAAATAAGTACCTTAAAAAACTGCTATATTTTATGTATAATTATCAAGTAGTATTTAAATATATATAATGATTAAAAGAAAGGAAAAAGTCGAATCCTAACTGATTGTATATATAATGTAATCCCTATGACGGCCCTAACAATTCTTTCTCACTTAAAGTCGTAACCCAAAAAGAGAATAAGTAAAATTAAAGTTCAGATACGTATACAATACTGAATCTAATACAAAAAAATACAAAATATAAAAATAAATTATATATGTACGAAACCTAACTAACTATTTATATTGATATTACGTAAATATACGTATGGTAATGAACATTGTATAATAAAGATATTTTTATTTTCAATAGTCTTTGAAACTTATTTAAGGTCATCAACGCGAGCGAAGCTGCGGGTAGCGATAACATATTTTCATTAGGAAATATAATTATTTGAAATCGTGTCATTCTTTTTAAACCTCCTGTATTCATCCACAAGGATATATTCCGATTTTAGCCTTTTCTGTATTTTTTCTACACTGTGTTACGTAACGAAATTGTTTATACCTTAACATTGAATGGCAATGCAATAATTAAATACGGTCTTTATTACCTAACTGCATTTTTGGTTTGTTTTTTCAGGAGGTAGAAGATCTGCACAAGCGGAGAGAGTTGAAGCATTGCCATCGCTTCTTTCTTCACCTTCTCGAAGACGTTCAAAATGAAAGATGTTTTCCAACCAAAACCTCTTACGGAATGAAATTAAAACTATAAATAAAAAATTATTATTACATGCATTTATAGGGAATTACTTCCTTTTTGTAGTATTACTTTTTGCATTAAAGGTAAGTTAATTGAATTTTCCGGGGTGAATTAGTTATTTAATCATGATGGATTTTAATTATTTCAAACTAAGCAAATTACAAAATCAAGCAAATTTCAAATACGGTGTTACTGAAAAATATATTACCTGGTATTCCTGTACTTACATACAATCTTTCATTAACACTATAAGAAGTTGCTTTGATCGGTACTGCTGGCTGCCATATTGTTGGGTCCACAGCCACATCTCGGAAAAGCCCTGGATGTTTGTAAATGTATAGTGTTCTTGCGGTATGGAGCACCTAAATAAACGGGGAACCAAAAGTTCGCTCGAGTGGTTTGGTGGTTTGGGAAGAAAGGTGGAAGACTGTCCCTCCTAATAGCCGAAACTGTGCAAACTGGTATGGTATGGATTTACCTTCTTAGCTAATGACGTGTTTTCTGTTTTCTGAGTATTTATACTACTATAAACAAGTTCTATTGGCAAAGTACTCAATTGATTTTCTCCTAGCCACACTACGGTGCCCGATTCTCAGTTTAGCAATACATTGTTTTTGTCTAGGAAAATGAAGGAACTCTGATTTGTGTTTTATGTAATCATATTGTTACGGATATATGTATATCCTAAAACTTTTAGTATTCACCTCTTAGACATACAGTTCATTCTTGTCGATAAAATTTATGCAGAAATGTAGCATATCCCTCGCTTTAAATCATAAATAATATTTTAATTTTCTAAATTATTCTTTAAATTTTCATTGCAATAGACATTATTCCAAAAGAGTTTCATTTTTTGCATTAAACTAATTTGAAGTAATAGATATTGTTGGGTAGAGAAAGGACTTTAAATAGTCCAATAATATTTATTCGAAAATTGTCGGTTCAATAAAATTGTTGCCATTAGAAGAGGGGAAATTATTTTATATTTTAATAGCGGGGGGGAGCATTAATTAAAAACAAAATACTTCATTGAAACCTCTTTCTATTGGAACAACATGGAAAACTCGGGACAGCATACTATTTAAAGTTTTACACTGGTGGTGGGGCGCTGTCCACCACAGCTGGAATGCAAAGTAGTTAATTTCAAATTCCGACTGCGTTCGAATGGCATAGAATAATTTAAGAATAGGGAAATGGCGGACATGCACATTGCGTTTGGTGAGGTTCACTGCAATTGAAGACCTACGGCACGGTTGTATGCCGGACACAACCACAGCAGACGTGCCCAGAATTACCGAATGTTTTGGAATTTGCACCGAAACCTGCTGAATATGGGACATTCTGCAAGAGCAAGAATGATACAATGAGGTCACAAATAACACGTACACCTGCCTTACAAGACTAGATATTGCGTCGAGAGGAAGAAGCTTCTAGTACAAGCACACAAGCCATAATATAGCCTCATCTCAGTGTATGGCGCACATCACACAAGAAGCGTGTACATCCACACATCATTTGCAACCGGTCCAGCCATTGCAGCTTGAGGATTATTCTCGATGCGTGGAATTCGCGCGCTGGTACATGGACAAATACAACCAGAGCCCGGCATTTCCATCCTTCATTCTGTTGTAGAAAACGCTCCTGAACTCTCTACTAGAAAGACCTATGATGCTCTCGACTAGAGAGAACTTCGTTAGCAGACTCCTCACACTACGAGGATTATAATTCATTTTTAACACCTATTTTAAAGAACTGTGAATGGCAACGACGCAACTGATTAATACGCATGCGTAAAGAAAAGAGACTTCTGGTCGGACGCCTGTCGGAGAGAGTGTTTTTTGAGAAGCTCCGCCAGCGAGCTGTGGTGTGGAGACTTAATTCGTCCAGTGATGACGAGTGCCATCTTCGTTAACGTCTCTGATCGTGTCACCAGCTCGGATATCTACTAAAGTTTTCTAAATGTATTAATTAAATGTTGTATCTGTGGTATGTGCTGTGAATAAAAAGTGATGTATCACCAATAGTAGTGTTAATTCCGTTACCACTGAAGCATCCACGACGTCACACTGTTCATGGATGAAGCCATTTTCTGTCGTGAAAGGACCTTCAATCAACAGAATGTTCATCTGTGGAGCCACGGAAACGCACGAAGTATATAAGTCGTTGGCCATATGCTGGCCAACGACGATTTTTCGTAAATGTATGGGTGGGTATTATTGGTGGCTATTTTATCTTACTAACTCTAGTGACTGGTTTAAAACATTGCATTTTTCTGGAGACAGTACTGTCCCAATTATTCGACATTGTTCCTATATCTGTTCGGAGTGCGATATTGTACCAGCACGAGGGAGCTTCAGCTCACTTTGCCTGTGCCGTACAGGGTTATTTGAACAACCCTTTTGCGCAGTAGTGGATTAGTCGTGGAGGACGCCTCCCATGACCACTCCGATCACTCGATTTATCTAATCCGGATTTCTTCTTGAGGGGATTCTAAAAGTCACTGGCTACGAGACTCTCGTTTACTGCAACACCGACCTCGTCACAAGAATCTTCGTGGTAGATCCGAACATCCGCGATATGTCCGGTATTTCTGAAAGGGTTCGACTATCCATATATCGCCGTTGTGAAGCCTGTATAACGGTGAATAATCGACACTAGTTGTGAAAGTGTACACGTACTGGGATTTTCAGTCGTCTAGGTGTATCCTACACCTACTAGAAGATCGTTCCTCTTATTTGGAATCCCCCTGTTTATATATATGTGTATATATACTATATGTATGCATGTATGTATGAGAGTTTTGCACCAGAGCGTCTGATAACTCTCTGGTGAGACTTAAGACTTAAAATCTGAATCCTGTCCACTCTTCTTTTAATTATGTAGCCCATAAGGGGCCATAACCACGATTTTGTGTTGATTCCCTTTTCATTCGAATCTGTTGCCATTTGGAAAAACGTAAGATATTATTCTTTCATATTTTAATCTGTGTGTTGTTCATTAACAAACTAAATAGATGCACTTCTTAAAAATATTACTTTTTTTAACTTTTTAATATTAAAGTATGTTAATAAAAATAATAATAATATATAGTTTAGATAAGTTTTGACAACATTGAGTGTTGTCGTCATCAGGAGATCGTGCTACGCGATACTGTCGTTCAAAAAAATAGATATAGTATGTAATTCCAATAAAAAGCATCGTATTTTTGCTCTGCTATTTGTTTTCTCTCTATTTTTAGAAATACGTTTTTAGGTTATGTACTTTTTAAGAAATACTTTTTTAGGTTATGGGTCAAGCAAGCTCCCATATTGCGTCAAATGTTTTGAATTGATGTTTTCTCGAAGAAACGGAACTCGTTAAGCCTAATCAAGTAAGTGTTTTGTTTTCGTTATAGCAATCGAAAGTTGTTTAGAAATCAAAGTATGGAATTATCTAAGGTCCAAGTAAAGCCTTTATCAGGGGAAAGCGATTGGCTTATATGGAAATACAGGATAAAATTTGCTTTAGAAATTGTAGAAGGAACTATAGTGAAACCAGAAATTCTTTCTGTAGATGCTCCGATTGCTCAACAAGAGAAATATAGTGAAGCTGTTAAGAAGTTTCAAAATGCAAACACTAGTGCTAGGATGGTATTAACGAATTCCATGACGTAAGAAACTCTGCAAAAAGTTATGAGATTTCAGACTGCTGGAAAAGTGTGGTTGGAATTGCATAAGTTATTTGAAGCATCATCAGAAAATCAATTGTATAATATATGCATGCAATTTTTCAATTCAAGTGGAATGAAAATGATAATATGGCAGCTCATCTTTCCAAATTAAAAAACTTATGGAATGTGTTTAATTCAGGACTTGAAAAGAAAAATGAAAATAAGTTACCTGACATGCTACTCCAATTGCAAGATTTTAGATGTGTAAACGCAAAGTATTAATTTTATTTAAAATGTATTTTCCCGATTGGCAACAACAGTTTTTTTCAGAACGATAATAATTTTGAACGGTAATGTTTTTTGAGCAGTAATGTTGACGGTAATGTTTCTGAATAAAGCAAGTATTTAACAATTAATGTTTGACGGAATGTGTTTTTAATAAACTAATTAAATGCTAACATTTCAGAAGTGGGATAAACTATAATTATTATCTACACTGTAAAAAAAAACCTCGAAGTTTACAGACAAAAGTCTTGTATAGTTACAGAAATGCGAACAATTACGAAGGAAATACCTGTAACGAACACAGAACCAAACGAAACTGTAAACTCTACAGGAGTTTTTCAAGAAGTTTTGCTTGGATTTTGTCCGTAGCGTGTGATCACGTGGCTTAAAACGGCTGAGAGAGAAGAACCAATCAGGAAGAAGGTGGAAAAACAGCGTCTTAGCGGGAGAGTTCAACGATAGTCGCCATGTTAGCCATTATTTTTGCTATGGTCGAGGTAAGTTCGAAATAGTGTTTGACGTGTATTTTACTAATTTTATGTAATGTATTTGTTATGTTCTTTACACTATCTATAATTAAATTCTTTTAATGTTTAGCTTATAATTCTAATGCTCCTAAATAAACCTGTGTTGAATTATTGTAAGAGTTCAAATCACAGAGCTTGTGTTCCATTTAGTAAAATAACAACTTTTATTCGTTACATCTGCAGGTGTCTGCAGTTAAACTGCTCATATTTATAAACAGAAACAAATTTGTTAATATGTTAGTTTAAAAACAAATAAGCTTAATATTAATGTTCTATCTATAGTCTAATAATTCTCATGTTAAATATTTATGTATCTTTTAAAACATATCGCGTTAGAATATTCATATTTTTCATTTTGTTGACAGATGTAACATTATTATTCCATACATGTTATCATTAATCCCAGCGTGAACTGCTTTAGAATATTTTTCAGAGCATTATTACACACTATGTATGTTATTATTAATCTCAACGAAAAAAAAAATAAATGTAATATATTTAAAAAAAATTCGACAAAATAACTTAACATACATTAAAAATGGAATATCA